CATAAAAGAGCTCCTTGAAGGGTAAAGCGGGGAATTGTCTCAGGGAGGATAAAGAAGCGGCGCTCCTTTGTGCGGTTTATCCAGGGCATTAATTTGGGGCGCGGGCGCGCGGGCGGGCGGGTGTGCGGTTATCGGCGCCGCGATCTGCGCGCTCACAAGGGCTCACATTCAAGCATCACCGCGGGCCCTATTGACACCTGCGTTATCAACAGCCCTTATTATCTGCTTAGCGGCAGGTCGCAGCCCGCCGGTGACATAATAAGTTACAAATCACTGGTGGGGCCTTTCTGCATTCTCCTAATTGTGTGTATTCTCTGGGAAAAAATTATCGCCGGGCCTCTTGTCTTGATGAGAAATTGACATTTTCTGGCGGAGCCTGGCGAGGACTATGTGGGGAGATAAGACTTATAGTTGTTTTAAAGAAGTGCAGCCATTCTTTCAGAGGCCTCTTTATTGCTCTAGTTGACCCACTTGATGAGTATAGATTTCATGAGGTCTTTTTCAGCATTTGAACTATAAAAGGTTCAGAATGACACCACCCCTTATAGACAAAAGATAACCTTGCCCTTTGAATATATTGATTCTTTATTAACTAGGCTGTTTAATGCAATGAAATGAGGCATTAGATTGAAGCCTATTTCAAGTGCTTTGAATAATCTTTAAAAGCTTGAAAGACTTTTAAAAGCTGCTCTGCAATAATTGGCATGTACTTTTAGAGACTCTTATTCCTTCGTTTTGATTAAGGAATTTTTATCATCTTCCTGTGTCTAAACTCACTGTGGGCTGACACAACATATTTCCACAGCAGGGCTCTTACCCACTTGTGTCGTAGGTGGTGGATTGCTCTAGGAATTGTCATATGTGGGTTTTCTCCTTTTGTGTTTTTCTTGCATTGAAAGTTAGAGGAACCATTTAGATGCTCATTATTCAAACCTTTGAAATAAAACTAAAAGGAAAAGTGCCAGTAGGCATCGTGCAGACTTTCATCCCTAAAAACCAGCTTATTTTTTAGTGGGATGCATCTGATTATGCTGCCTTTTAAACACGATACGCAGACACACACTCAGATTGGAACAGTTTTCAATGCATAATAATAAAAAATAATAAAAATAATAATAATCCAAAGTGTTCTGCAGCTTTAACACCTTTTTTTTTTCATCAAATCAGTTTTCATCTGACATGAAAACTATGGAAATGCTGGAGAAGAAAGGAAGCATGGTTAAAAATCCTGGTTTTCCTGTAGGTTGTGACTGCAGTGACTGAGTTTTGCCTTCTCCCCACTCCATCCCTGAACCACAGGCAGCCAAGGAGGGGCTGGGGCACCCAGCGTGTCCTTTGGCACTGGATCCACACACACCACTCCATCCCTTCACTTTGGAGCTCCGAGTTTCTCAGTGCCCTCTCAAAGCTGTCAGCAGCCCTCTGATTAATGACCGGATCAAACTCCAGAACAAACTCCCTGTTTTACCACCACGAGTGCTTACATTCCTCTGCCAGACCCATATTCCTGTGGAAATGCCCTTTTTTTGGTGGTGCTGGTCACACAAAAGGATACAGGAGCACATTTGGTGTCTGGAATGGGGAACTCAGACCTGCACATCAGGCAAAGCTTTGCAGCTCTCTCCAGCTCCAAGGCTGCACGTGCCCACCTCATTATAAATATATTTTTGCACCCACTATATGTGCATTGCACATATTATGGCTCAGAGGATGAAATATTTGTGCTCAGTATTATAATTAGCAAAAGAATTTGCTTCCTTCTCAGCAGTTAAGAGACGAGCACGTCGACCTTCAGTGTCAAACCACCACATGGAAAATTTGGGTTGTGCTTTGTTTAAAATAACTTTTCCTGTTTACAGACTTTTACAATATGATATTAAAATAGTAAAAGGAAAAAAAAATCTATTGTTACCTTTGCTTTACAAAAAGCCTGACTGAAGTGCACCATTTTGGTTAAATAAGAAAAAGAGATATTCTGCTTTTATTCTTCACAAAAAGTGAGCAGTTTTGCATAAATACTTCACCGAGGCTGAACAACAAGTGATTGGCACTGCAGAGCAGAGATGTCCTTCCTCATCTTCCTCCCAGGGAACTGGAAAAACCACGTCAAGGGTTTGGGCTTTTTCATAACAAAGGAATAAAAATTCTGATATTTAGAAATGAAACCCCCAGTGTTGCGCTATTTCGTTTAGTGTTTAGCCACTTTTTTTAATAATCAAACCAGATAAAATTACTAAAAATGAAATTCACAGACAAGAAATACTTTAATTAAATATTGTGTAAAATGAACATTTTTTTATACAGTTAAATATATGAAAAAATGTACAGATAAAACAATCTTATTGTAGGGTCTTTAACAGTAAAATCTACCATTTAGTGAAGCTTTCCGTCTGGAGACAATGAAGCAATGAGTGCATTGACTAATTAATCTAAAACACAAACAGATTGCATTTATGAAGGAACTTGCAGACTTTCTTAACATGTACACGTGACCTCTTCTTTTATTTTTTTTTTTTTAGAGCAAAACCTTACTTAGACAAAATATAACGGAGGCAATTCAGTTCCAAAGTGACTTCTCAGGCTTTCCCACCTAGCCAACCTTGGCCGTGCTCACAGAGCTGTGCTACGCTGAACCCTTCTTCTAAACCTTCCAGAAAAGCTTGACTAAAATGTGCATTTTTTTTTTTGCCCAAAAAGAAAAAAAAAATACAAAAATAATAATAATAAAAAAATTAATAATAATTAACGAAAATGATCCCTCTTTTTTGGTTAAAAGGTGAATTCTGCTGCAGTTTGCAACGTGTTTTGCAGTGCTGCGCTGGCAAAAGATTTAGTGCAAAGTAAAAATAAAAACAACTCCACGTTTCTCTGGCTGGATTTGGCACTGAGAGCCACGGAATACAACGGAGGTCATTCCAGTTTAAAAAGTACCATCGGCTACGGGTTGATTACAAAAAGTTCCCTAAAAAAAACCCCAAGAAACCTAAATAAACAACTCCCAGACATTAAAAATTCGGTGTGATCCTGATTTCCTGTGAAACCTTCCCTGGTTTTGAGCAGAGCAGGGTTTGGGAGAATGCAGAGTGCAGCAGAAAATCGACACATAAAGGAGTGGCAGAATTGTACACCGGGATTGTGCTTTTTTTTTCCCCCTTATTTTTTTACACCAGAAATCATCCAAATGAAGTTGTGATTAACAATTGTGGTGTAAGCCTGTGATAAAACAGCACAAAAGTTCTTCAAAGAAGTTCACTTTTAAGGCATCAGAGAAGTTCATGTGGCAAACATTTTAATTAAAACATCAGAAGTGAATTTATTTTTAAACTTTAGGCCTCTGAATTTTTCCAGTAAACACAGTTCAGCTATGTGGCAAAGTCATGGGTGGCAGCTAAAAATGACTTTTTACAATCTTAAAAAAAAAAAAAAATTAAAAATAAAATTAAAAAATAAAGAAAACAAACAAACAAAAAAAAGAAAATAAAAAATGCAACCACAAAATAGATTCATCTTTTCTGTGGCTGTATCACATGCACATATTCTACTAGTATTCATTACAGCCATGTGGCACAATTTTGATTTGACTATACAACAAACGACTTTTTCTTTCAAAATTATTTGTTCTGATAACTTAAAAATAATATAAAAATAAACAATGAATTTGAATTTTTGAAAAAAAAAAATTAAAAAAAGAAAGGATGGAAAGGCTAAACAATAGCAACCTTATGAAGTACAAATGAAATGCACAGACACTGATTTATTTAAAAGAAAAACATGAAGGCAACAGTTCTTGGCTTAATGCTATTTTCAGCATCACGATACCAGGCCAGGACAAAAACCAATACATACAAGAACATAAAAAAAATGATGAAAAGCAATATACAAAATTTCAAAGATAAATACAATATTTATAGTTGATATGTTACAAAATAAATTCCCTTAGTGACTGCAAGTGTTTATGTGAAAGAAAGTGTTGCAATGGATAAGACTATTTTATTCCTTATAGTGGTCATAAGGAATAAAATCTGCTTTTTTTTTGTCTAAATATTTAAGTGGATCTGAAAAAAATTCAAGACAAGTGTATAAATATTTAGCTACAACTTTGGCAAAATCACAAAAGTCTACAATTTTATAACCACATACAAAACACATTAGGGAAGAAGGATCTAGAAGTCAAAAGGACAATTTTCTGGTACAAGAAACATAGACTTCACAGTAGCCTAAAATGCAATAGTATACAGTGCTAGCAAAAGTTGAAAAAATGTTGCAGATCACACTTGCTTAACAGGAAGCTCTAGCAGTGGAAGTATATTTTTTTCATTTTTTTAAACCAACAGACAGTAGCAATTTCTTTTTTTTTTTTTCTCTGTCAGTGTGCTTGTTGAAGGCAAGAGAATTCAATATCAAAGTTACAATTTCTAACTACAATAAGTTACAAAGTTCCATTTCATTAAGATGAAGTTAAGCAACGATAAACCCCCCCGCGCCCGCCCCCACGCCCCGGTTTTTTGTGTGGTTTTTTTTTTTCTAATCATATATTCATCCTTTTTTTTTTTTATTATTTTTTTTTTCCAGTTTGATGGCTCATAACCTCCTTGGCCCCCCTTTTTTTTTTTTTTCCACCACAAAAAAATATTTCACATTATAGAGATACACAACCATTGTGAATCTAGTTATGAGTACAGAAAAATGTTCGGAGGCATTTTTCATCAGTGTTTCATGATAATCAAAATGGTGCATCCACAAAGTTTCTCCCAACACATAGCAAGTACTAGACATAGCCAAGACGTAATCAGAAACTTTATACAAAATAGGCGTCGCTTTTTCCTTATTCTCCAGGACTGAGAAATGTGAAAATATGAGAAAAATTCAGTCAATAAAATGGAATTGTTCATGAAGAAGTAGGTTGTTTTGCATGTAGATTCTTAATAGTTTAAATAAAATCTTTAAACAAAGTCTTTTTTTTTTTTTCTTTTTTTTGTGGGGTTTTTTTTTGTGGGTTTTTTTTATTTTTTTCCTGTAGCATTTTCGATTTTGTTGCTGATTCTGCGTGAAGATACTGCTTCCATCAGCATGTCTTAATATACTAAACTTGTCCCCTAAGCCCATCCTCTGCAGCTTGGTGCTACGGTAGGTAAACAAAAGTGACTTTACATTGGCGGGACTACAAGCCCGGACATGGCTAAAAGAAAAAAGAGAAGAAAAGGAGCTGTTATTGGCACGCTGGGCTCAGAGACACCACAGGACAGGGAGGGAGGATGCGGAGCAGAGCCCGGCTCCTCCACGGCATCCCCAGAGCAAGGACCACGGACACTCCCCCCAGCAATCACACCCCACACCCTTGAGAAAGGAGCTCTGCAGGCAGAGCATCCCCGCCTCCCCAGGCTCAATTCTCTCCAGGCTCCTGACAACTCCTCTGGCCGTGTCCCCATCCCTTGGGGACACCCCCACCAATCACCCCTTCACGCCCTGGGCAGAGAAACCTCATTTTCCACTATTCTACTGCATGATAAAAGCAGGACTGAGCAAGCCAAGGACTCTCCGAAACCAAAACCAAGAACTCTAAACCTTCTCCCAATCCTAGAGCTCAAACACCATAAAAAGACATGATATTAAAACCCCTGACCAACCATTTCCTGGGGTTTCTTAACACATAAAGACTGAGATGCCAACAACCACTGGTTTTTTTCCAAGTTAACTCTTTGGTAGAAGCACAGTTTAGACAGTCTTTAATTTTAGTGTTGTTTAATTTTTGCCGTAATGATATTTCTCATTAATTTATGTACAACAGATATTAATAAATTTGTTCGTGTAGCGATGTGAACTTCAATTTCTCAGTTCATTAATTTCAACAATATTAATTTATTTCAGATTTGCCGTTTGCAGCTTTACGGTTTGGAAGAGCTGGGTCTGTACACATTTCATAGGTAACACCACCACAACCAGCATTGCTCCAACAGCCCAGGGCAGCCCCTGCTCCTGCCAGAGCCTTCTGTGGATTTGGATGGAGCTAAACCTCCCTAAAACACAGCTTAGGTGATGTTGGTGAAACAGGATAAAGTCTTCCAACTCTGCCCTTTTTCTCCCCAGTTAAACATATCAAAAATGTCAAAATTAAAACTGGAGTTATAATTTTGCAACATTCTTCATAATGAATGTTTTAAACCTAAGCAGCAACTTAAGTTACAAAATTTAACTGGAGAACAGTGGTTATATTGGCAGAGAGCCTTTCTACACAAAATATTCAGTTTCCTTATCGTGTTTTCAGAGAATCACAAAATCATTTAGGTTAGCAATGGTCTCAAAGATCACCACGTCCAATCTGTGCCCCGTCCCCACCTTGTCCCCAGCTCACAGCACTGAGTGCCACCTCCAGCAGTTCTTTGGAATCCTGCAGGGATGGGGACTCCAAACCTCCCTGGGCAGCCCCTGCCAAGGCCTGACCACCCTCAAAAAGCTCTTAAAAACAACTCTTCACTGAATGTCTTCTGTTCCACCCCTAATCAGCCCAGGCCAGCTGATGACTTCACCCTGAGTCTGGACCTGCCAAACCCCTGCTCTCAGTTCGGCTTCTCCTGTGGGATTCAGCAGCAAATCTGTCACCATGGCAGTCTGGTTATCTGGGGTGCACCTGGCCTGGGGCTGCAGGAGATCATTTTAAGGAACAGCTGCCATGGAATCACAGAATCATTAAGGTTGGAAAAGACCTTTAAGGTCAAGTCCAACATCAACCAGCGCTGTTGTGGTTCACCACTCAACCATGTCCTCAAGTGCCTCGTGCTGCAATTCAACCATCAGCTGCTCCATTCCTGGCAGTGTCCAAGGCCAGGCTGGACAGGGCTTGGAGCAGTTCAGGATAGTGGAAGGTGTCCCTGCCCATGGCAGAAGGTGGGACAGGATGGGCTTTAAGGTCCCTTCCAACCCAAACCATGCTATGATTCTGTTGTGTGAAAATTTAGATTATCCGCTGCCATATTTTTCTGGAGGAAAGAAAAAACATCTCAGTTCTTTAATTTAACCATTTTTGTTGAGCTCTCTTTGTGGCACAGTCTGAGGGGGTGGGTGCAAGGTTGGTGCTCCAGATGTGAATTTCACAATTTATTTTAGTAGCAATCTTTGACAATTGTGAATTTCTGCACTGAGCTTCCTGCTGTGCAAATTGATACCAAACGCCTTCTTAAAGAAAAATGAGCTGGTGAGTTTTTTAATAATAATTTTAATACTTTCATCTGGAGGAAGACCAGAAAATTAAGCAGGATGCAATTTTAAAAGAATATAGAGAGCCTTTTGCTGTGCATTATAGTCCTATAACCAGAGAGCAATATCTTTCACAATCTATAGAAAGCAAATTACAATTGAAAACCAAATTTTGAACACATATTGTGCTTCCAACTTTGCAGCCAGGCAGTAGTCTCTCACTAAAAAATTTCTTTTCTACCCTTAATGTTCATTGTTTTAAACAGGAAAAGCCTCTCTGCCCTAAGGAACACACATGGCAGGATTCTGCTCTTAAAAAATTCGTGTGAGTACTTGACTTTCTGATCACAGACTATGGAGGTCACAGAGAGTCAACAAGATTGTGGCTTTTTGGACATGACCCAAAAGCCCTTTTCTGTAGGATTACTCACAGGAGTGAGTCAGGCCCTGGGGACAGCAGGGGGAGATTTCTCCTCCAAGAGCTGCAGCTCCTGAGTGCTGGCCCTCCTTAGGCTGACCATGGCCATGCAGCTGGCATGGGGGCAGCAAGGGGGAGGAGTAAACATCAGCTCTGTCTGGCATTGCCCCCAGCCTGACCTCTCTGAGATCCCCCAGATTGCCTTTTTCACGCTCAACCTCTGCCTTGATGATTGAATCACCAAATCTCAGAATGGTTGGGGTTGGAAGGGATCTTAAGGACCATCCTGTTCCAACCCTCTGCCATGAGCAGGGACAGCTTCCCCTGAAAGTTGTCTTGGATCTCTTTGCCAAAAAAGTGTGACCTGCAGACATCTCCACGCTCACTCTTGGACAGTAGGTCCTACAGCACAGAGAGGGTTTTGGGGTTGTGCTCACAGGCAGCAAGATCTTGCTTCTGGTGTGGTGGGCTTGGGTGGTCCTGATGCTCAGGGTTACATCAGAACAAGCCAGAAATCAGAGCAGCTCAACTTCTGTTTAACTCTTTGTTAGGGGACAAAACAATCCCCCTGAGGTCCAGCTGGAACTGCTTACTTCTGCTGTTCTCACCAACTTAGATGCACCACAAGCAGCATTTTCCCACACAGAGATACCCTACAGTGGTTTGCCCACCAGGGAGGGACAATTAACCCCCAAATCCCTGCAGAAGGATCACCCTTGTCTGAATTCTTATCCATTCTTATCCAAGGCCCTACTTCTCCATAAACTGAGGGATTTGCCTCTTATGCACCACCAGTGAGCTCTTACTGCCCTCTTGGCTTGCCTGAATGTGGCCATTCCTAACAGTGACATCTCAGCTGTGGCTCAGCTCCTTCACACTCTGCCCTAAAATGAGGCTCTCTACTTGAAGATCACCAAAACCACTTCAGCTGCGTTGGATTGCAGCTCTTAAATTCCATATTTTAACTTAATGTAGAAAATGTGCTGATCAGAAAACTCTCAAGGTGATTGTACAGAGTCCAGAAAGCAACTAATTAAACTTTAAAAAGAGTTCCCTGAGAACAAATGACTGAGAAAATAGGAAGGAAGAAGCAAAAGCTCCCTAATGAACTCTATGTATCAAATGCAGTGTAGATAAGTACCAGCACAGCAGTGTTGGTGGTTTTTCTTGACGATGTCTCATGCAGGAAGGAACTGACAAACTCATCCCTGTCCTGCCCCTCAGCCCTGGCTGCAGCTCAGACCAAGGCACAGATGTGAGGAGGAATGGGTGAATTTGAGGGCTTTTGCGAGCTCAGTCTGAACTGACTCAAAGCTTTGGGTGGCAGAAGGGATGGTACCTCTGGTGGGATGGTGAAGGAGCTCACACAGGACTCCTGGGCAGGAACATGAGGTGGTGCTGAGGCCCTGGCACAGGCAAAGCTGTGGCTGCCCCATCCCTGGAAGTGTTCAAGGCTGGGTTGGACCGGCCTTGGAGCAGCCAGGGACAGTGGAAGGCGTCCCTGCCCAAAGCTGGAGCGTGATGGTCTTCGAGGTCCCGTCCAACCCAAACCATTCCAGGATTCTGTGATTCCATGGCAGTTCCCTAACTCCCACAACACTGAGCATTGCCTTGGGGTGCTGTCCACTTTGCATAAATTATGCAAATTTTATTTGCCACAACCCTGGAAGTTGCTGCTCTAACTACCAGGCCAGAAGGACATTCTGCCTGTTTCTCTGGGTCATCCTGCTCAACACAAAATGACTCAGGTTCAGCTGACAGAGGAAAATTGACAATTTTTATTTAATTAATTATTTCTTTATCTACGTATTATCTATTTAATTTCAACACTTGGTTTTCAGTTCAGCTGCTGATCCAAAACCCAAAAGGATGATCCCAAAAGGATGCTGCATGGATTGCAGCATCCAAAAATCAGGGGTTGAAGGCATGGCTAGGTCTTCACTGGGCTCTCTGGGCATGGAAAAAGCTTAGTGCAAAGCGAGGTTGGGCTCAGCTTAAGAGCTGAATTCATGACCTATTTAACAGTATTGGCTGATTCCAAGTCATCTTCTGAGCTTTACACAAAAAACATTTTGTACTTGAGGATGGAGATGTGCAATTACTGGGGGCCTGGGGAGGTGCTAATGACATCGGGTCCTCATTCAGCCCTCCCAGTTCTCCTTAAAACCCCACTTTGAGGTAATCTAGAGATTTGAAGTACCTAAAACCTTGAGTATATGACAGGAAGACCCTTACTCACATACTGAAATGGAAAAAATCTGGATCATTTTAATTTAGATCTTTAAATAATTGTGCTTATCAGAGTAAATCAAAATCAATTAGTTGATCTTCCTGCCTCAGATCTAAGCCATATGTTACCACATTCATATTAGTTTTTATTTTATTTTTGTCTATTTTTTATTATTTATTTTATTATATAATTTTTCTTTTTTTCATTATATTATTTCAGTATTTACTTTTCATATCAGTGTCCTCTTACAAAAAGAGGAAAGTAGGACACTGGATTATTTTATGAATGGATTATCTTTTCTAAGAATATGGATATAGTTTTCTACTTACAGTAGTAACACAGTAAAGCTTCCTCTAAAGAAATACACAAAAAACTGTTAATTTAATTATCTTTTCCTTTAGTATCATGCTACAATGAGTTTGTGCATTTGGATTCTCAGCTCTTTGTTGACCTGAGTGCATAACAAGGTCTCAGATGGTTTTTTTGGGCCAAGAAGTTAAGAGCAAGCTGCAGGAAGATTCATTTTGAGATCCTGCAGTGGATTTGGGGTGGACAGGCAGCTCTGTGGGATTGGGATGATGTCGCTCCAAAGTGCCTTCAGCACCCTACAAAATGCTGGTGTCCAGAACTGGTTTGGCAAATTAAAATCCCCCTCATCTGTTTGCCTGTGAGTGCTGGTTGGGTTATGGGTGTCATGGTGATACAAAGGATGAATAACCCTGTGCTGCTGCTGCTGCTTAGCTGAGGAAGTCAAGAGGAGTGACGACCTCGGGATGAGGCTGTCCTCAACCCTTCCTGGTTTCAATGGGATCTGAAGTGCCTCAATTCACTGCACTGTGCACTGAGACTCCAGCAGAGGCAAACAGACCTTCCCAGTGATTCTAATGCGCCTACATGCATGTCAAAATACCCCCTGAAAGTGGCAAAATTGGCCATGAGTCTTCCCTTTTAGGGTGACTTCTTTGTTTGTGTTTTTGCTCTCACATTGTGCTGTAATTCCTCCTGCCCCACACCCTGCAGGTGACCACGGACATTCTGCCACTGATTTATCAGTTGTTTCTTGCATTACCCACATGAAATCACATGGATTATATATTAAAAAAAGGACAAAATATTAAAACTGCCTGCCCTAATTAAAATATTTAGTTCATTTAGGGATGTAACCACTCTAACACCACAGTAAGAGCTGGCACCCCCAGAGCATGCAAACCACTGCAGACAGGGCTGCCTAGTCCAGGAAAGCTCAGTCCACAGAGTAAGGGCTTAACCTGACTTATATCTGACTTACATTAAATTGACATATTTAAAATCACTACTGCACCCTATATAAAGTAAGGAAATCACACTATGTCCTGCCAGAACACTGCTGGGTTTAAACATCCACAGAAATGTGTTCAGAAAACATAAAAACACCAGGAATACACAAACCCTCCAAGAGGCATTCCAGGATACAGTCTTCCCTTAAAATTTAAGGCACAGAGTCCTAAGGGAAAATGCCAGAAAAACAACTGGTGTTTGCTCTAATGCAAGCATCAAAAATGAACTAAAAACCTGAAAATCTCAGCAGACCATTCACGCTACCCTATTTCTCCCCCTGCTTTTTGCATCACTACAAGAGCACTGAAAAATCCAGCCAGGTACCTTTCTCCCCAAGAGAAAAAAAAGCACCAAAAATTAAAAAAAAAAAAAAAAAAAAAAAAAAAAAAGCAGCAGAGAGAAAATTGAGAGAGATCGGGCTCACCTTGAAGTCCATTTCCATTTGCACTGGTGCAAGATGGTGGAGGAGAGGCTTGGGGCCTGACAACAGGAGCGAAGGCGCTCTTTTGTTTCACTGCAGAGATGACATTGGCAGGTGAGAATGAGAAAATGCCGTGTGTACTGCTACAGTTTGAAGGGAGGGTGACCGAAGAGGCTGCCATGGTAGGGCTTGACGGCACTACTGCAATAAAGCAAAAATAATCAGGACTCAGATTGAGGTTTTCACGGCAAACACGGAAAAAGAGAGTGATAGGGCCTTGCCTCTTAAAATATATATAGAGATATATATATATATATAAAAAAAATATATATAAAAAAATAAAAATGAAATGCCTTGGCTTGGCCACTCTCTGGATAACAGGCAAACTCTTTTGTGTTGGACTTTTGTTATGAATTGCGCAGTCCAATTTTTATTTTGGTTTTTTTTTTGTTTCGTTTTGTTTTGTTCATTTTTTTTTTTTTCTCTATCTGAGATTGTATTCTGGCACAAACAGATCAATTTATTATTTTCATTTTTACGTCCAGCCTCCAGAGTCACCCCTCCTTTTATCCAGTAGCTGACAATAGAGGAAATCAAAACAATGCAAGGAGTTGATTTTGTAGTAAATATGAATCTATATGATGATGTGTTACCAAAAATAGACACTTACTGCCATAAGGAGAGTTAGCTGAGGAGCCATTAAGAAATCCAGGGGAACCTGGTACACCTAGATTGGGCATGCCGGCATTGCCATATCCATTCATGCTATTGCTGACTGTGTTGTAATTGGACTGCTGAGGAGTACTGCTGGGAACATATCCTCGCGGGGAAACACTGCTTGTGTTGCGACTGTAACCTACTGTGTTAGAAACCCCCCCACCCCAAAAAAATAATGTTATTTTATAAGATAGACTTAGGGCTGGGGGGTTTCCTCATGCAGCATATATTACACAGTTTTAATTGATTGCACAGCTTTGCTCTGAGTTGTCTCTCACTGCCCTATCAACTCTTGCAGCTTGAGATAACCTTATCACGCCAACCCTACTTAAATCATCCGCGAGCACTCTATGTTGTCTCTCCTCTTAGCACAGACAGCCAACAAAAGCTCTCTTCGATCCAGCTGTGTCAGGTGCCTTCACGTTTGTCTTTAGGAGCAATTATCAACAGGCTCGAGTCCCGCTTTGTACCAACACACTGCGTGAACTTTCAGCCTCTCCGCACCTTCAAATGCCAGAGCTGACAAGAAAAACTTTTTTGTTGCAGTGATTTACTTTAAAAGGCTGTTTTGGGGTCTTCATTTTGTGATTGATATTTTTTATGCTAACAACAAGCTTTCGTAAGGTGTAGCCATCAGTGAAAACTAATTCAAGAGCAAGTACAGAATTTTATAAGGCTTATTAGCTTGGAAACGCATTAAAAGACAATCTTTTTAGAAGAGGAAACATAGCGGAATCAGGATTTTAAACAACAATTTGTTCCTATCTGAGCAATCAATTTAATAATTACGTTGCAAGCAAAAAAAAAAATGCGTTTGAACATATCTAATAATCCTGTTTCCCTGCTTTCATTAGTATCAAAATTAATTTTAAATGCAATATGCTACATGCATTTTCAATTACAACAGGTAAATTAAATCAACTATTACTTTTATTAGTAACATATATGTCACACATGCCTACAAACAAAGTATTTTAAAATCACAGACATCAAATTAGATTTATCTGTGTAAATATTCCAAAACCAGGTGGAGGTACCGAGACATAATTATTTTATAAACCAACCATATACATTGTATATTTACTGCGAATAACAAAGAGCTTTCTACACTTTGCCAATTGTATCTTTTCCCCCACTGGAGATGCTTTATGATAACAGTAAATGAAAGAACAGGGAGAATTAAATATTACAAGAAAAGTTAAAGACGGCATTTCATTCCGCGCTCAGACACACGGCCAGGGGGACAGAGAGAGGGAGGACGCGGTGACATCAGCTCGCATGAACAGGCCAAAAGCAGCCAACAAGGTGAAGGATTAACCCTTGAAATCCCACCTACCTTGGTCGTTGGCTTGCGATGTTTCGGAGACATTGACGGCGAGCTGGCTGCTGAAGGAGTTCACGCCCATCATGCCGGTGTGGGCGGGAGTGTTGGCTAGAGTGGGGATCTGGTTGTGGTTGCGGGGCACGCTGTACAACGCCTCAGCAATGTCAGCTGCTCGTTTCAGGATTATTTCCTAGAGAGACACGGAACAAGCACTGACAACTCAGATTTGTGCAAACGCTCCAAAGTCGCAATAGCGCAAAAATTTACCGAAGAGATTCACATGGAATTATAGTGAGGGTGGGGGGTTTGCTGCTCGTTCCAACCACACCTCCTGTTTTTCCTTCCCGTGCCCAATTGCTCCTCAACACAGTAAATATAAAGAAATGAAGAAATTAACATAAAACTCCAGTTTAGCACTGGAAGCCAGGTGAAAATCGTCACAGGGGTTTTATGCGCCCAAGGCAGGAGTTGTATTTTCAGCAGTTCGCAAAATACAGTACAGCTGATCCACTCGGCTGAGCAGATTTCTTTAGGACTTCCCATTAGTCACTGTATATTTTGGCCCCAGTTCAAGGTTATTCTCTTGCCTTAATGCTTGCTTATGCTTTTGGCACCTCGCACATAATTGTCATTTCTGATAGGCAAACGAGCAGCGAGAGGAGAAGGGGAAGATGAAGCGCTTCCCTCAGAGCATTGCATCACATCACACTGCCCTCGAGGTGGCTGGCAAAGCCTGGCTGTGTACAAAGGCAACGTGCTGATGCTCTGCCAGCCCTGCACAGAGCAGGTATTGATCTACACGTGTCGGCGTGGGAACAAAGAGCGTGCTGCTGACCTACCTGGTTGTTATGGGGCATCCCATATAGGGCTTCAACAAGGTCTGCTGCTCTCTTAAGTAATACTTCCTAAAGGAAAACAAACAACCTGCGTTATGTTTCACTAAGACAGGAGCAGTGCAGCAATGTTGGCAGTTGTAGCGTCTCTAATTGGAAGGAACTGATAAAGTGGATAAAATACATCACGCACCACCCGTGAGCTCCCGCTATATTTAGGGGATGTATTACAAAGATAGGAAGGTATTTTGTTTGGGAGAAAAACAGGGCTTGTGGTTTGAAGTCAAAGTTAGAGAGGAGCCTAAAAATAATGTTGCATTTTACATCCAGCTGTTCAATTATGATTGACTCAGAAAGGTGTTTGCTGCTGTAGCATGTAGCTCTCGTGCTGAATTAGTGAAATCAGTGCTTGAGGTTTAATGATGTAGTCTTATGGGTATTAAACAAACAAACACATGGTAGAGATATGAAAGGCACAGGCATCACATTTGGCTGTTAATTCCTAGCACTTTAGTGGTGAAGAACAATAAGTAATTTTCCATATCT